TCTCTCTCTCTCTCTCTCTCTCTCTCTCTCTCTATATATATATATATATATATATATATATATATATATATATATATATATATATGAAGCTGTGGTCTTGTGTTGGGTCTTAAGCAGGGCAGGGCTACAGTGTGGTGCTCCCAGAGAAGTTGCACACAGGGAAGTGGGATGTGCATAGGTATATATATGCTTTTCTTTCTTCTTTTTTTGTAGATTTTAGCTACCTTAAATTGTTGCTGTAATTATTCGGTTTGCTTTTGTTATTGATTTGCTGCAGATCTGCACGTTCGCCTTTCAAGCTCGTCAGTCGATTTGCTGATCATCCTCAAATTGGGACTTTGCATGATAACTTTGTGTCAGCCTTCTTACTTTCTTACTTTCTTGCTTGGTTGAATAAATTGAGTTAATTAATCCCCTGTTCTTATTTTTTAGTTATTTATTAATTATTATATTTTGGAAGAATTACAATTGTTTAATTGTTTGGTCGAAATTTCTGAGAAATGCAGACGTTCAGTTGAAGTTTTTAGAGATTACAAATTCTTAGGTACACGAAATCGGGTGGATGGAACTGTTGGAGAGTAAGTTGGTTTGTGTTGTGCTCTCTAATTGTGCGTAATTTCAATTCCTTCTCCAAAGTAGTAGTCTTTATGATTGAAGGTACAAATGGATGACATATGGAGAAGCAGCCACAGCTCGGGAAGCAATAGGTTCTGGCCTACGCTTTCACGGGTTAGAAAAAGTAAATCAAAATCCATTACACAAGTCATATGCTCTGCTTTGATGATAGACTATATTTGCCAAAATTTGATGGCATCATCTTGGCTTGGACAGGGAGCTTGTGTTGGACTTTATTTCATAAACAGGCCAGAGTGGCTGATTGTGGATTATGCTTGCTCCGCATATTCTTTTATCTCAGTTCCTTTATATGATACTCTTGGTATGTATGTATACCTGTAATTGCTCAAATGAATGGTTCCGAGTTTGTAAACTCTGTTTTAACAGATTTTTGGTCTATGAGCAGGCCCGGATGCAGTTAAGTACGCCGTGAATCATGCTGGTGTACAGGCAGTCTTTTGTGCCCCACGGACTCTAAGCACTGTGAGTTTTGATATTTGCTTCTTCAGCTGTGATTTTGCAATTTTGCAATAAATGATGCCTGCAAGGAATGCCATAGGCTGGTGCATCATTCAAAGATGTATTATTTCTTACTTTTAATGTTTTCTTCAAAATATTCTGCAACGTTCCATTTCTGTTGTTAACAATTTGAAAATGGGAAATCCAGTTTGTATCTGAATTCTGCTTTTCATAATATGCTAATTTATGCTTTACAAATTTGCTTTACATCTTATAAGCCTCTCCTGATTCTTGCAGATGTTAACTTTCGTATCTGAGATTCCGTCTGTACAACTTATAGTGGTATGTACTCTTGAAATCTTATTATCTTATTATCTTATTCTTGTCTAAGTTGAAAACGAACGAATGCATATTTTCCAGTTTTCTAATCCTTTTTCCCCTTGAAATCCATAAATGTAGGTTGTGGGAGGGATGGATGAACACTTGCCTTCGCTTCCATCTACATCTAGAGTGAAGCTTATATCATATTTAAAGCTCATCAGTCAGGTAAATTTTCGACTTAAACCTATCCTGATAATTTTTTTCAGTTATTTGTAAATTTATATTCCAAGTATATTCTTATCTTCCGAACAGAGAAAAACATATTCTTTAGAATTTTGTTTTGCTAATTGTATGCTTATATCTTGGTGTAGCATTAATGTTTGTTTATAAAACATGTATGTTTCTTCACCTTACAATGATTCTCTTTTAGGGCCGCAGTAATCTGCAGCCTTTTTGCCCTCCTAAGCCCGAAGATGTTGCAACCATTTGCTACACAAGTGGTACGACTGGAACACCAAAGGTAGAGCTTGCTTTTTTATGCAACTATGCTCAGTTTCTGCTGGAAAAGCTCATTCTATATTGTTATGGTGAAGTACATTATGGACCTCGTTACTTGTTTTAATCGTGTTTCTCTACCCCCTCCTTCCCCTAAAAAAGGGAGTTGTATTGACCCATGGAAACTTTATTGCAAACGCTGCTGGATTCTGTCATGCAGTCACATTCTATCCCTCGGATATGTGAGTACATTATATATAAATTATTAGTTGTCAGATAATGTTTCATATAGTGTTTAAATACATTTTATTTTCCACAGTTACATATCCTACCTTCCTTTGGCACACATCTATGAACGAACTAATCAAATTATATCAGTGTACTACGGTGTTGCTATTGGTTTCTACCAGGGGGTATGTGACTCTTCTGAGTATCATAGTTTTAGTATCTCCTGGAGTCTCTGAGGCCATTCAAGCATTACGTACAGCTCTGTCCTTAATTGCAGGACAATCTGAAATTGATGGATGACCTGGTTGCACTGAGACCTACATTATTTTGTAGTGTGCCTCGGTTGTACAACAGAATATATGCCGGGTAATCATAGTTGGCTGCAGCTTAAAAGTATTGTTTATTATTGTTCATGTGGTCTCCATGTCATATCTAATTCAGTCCATCACAGAATTGCAAATTCTGTTAAAACATCTGGGACTCTAAGGGAGAGACTATTTCAAACTGCCTACAGTTCCAAGAAGCAATCCATAATGAGTGGTAATATACACTAATAACTTCACCTTCTCATAGGCTATTACTTAAGTTATGCTGTTGTTAAATTTCTCTATGTTAAACAATTATTTCAGGTTCGAATGGATCACCAATATGGGACAGATTGGTGTTCAACAAAATAAAGGAAAAGCTTGGAGGACGAGTTCGTTTTATGGGATCCGGTGCTTCACCCTTGTCCCCTGATGTCATGGACTTCCTTAGAGTGTAAGTTGGGTATCTTATATAGTGCAATTTAATAATTTTTTCATTTTTTTTTTCAAGTGTTAAGACCAATGAAATTTTTGCCGCATATGTAACCAAAATCGCAGGTGCTTTGGCTGTCAAGTAATTGAAGGATATGGTATGACAGAGACTTCTTGTGCCATGAGTATGATGGATGAGGGTGACAACTTATCTGGCCACGTCGGGTCCCCTAATCCCGCCTGTGGTGAGTTTATCAGACTTATCATACACGAATGTATATAAGAATTTGCTGTTAGATAGCATATTATCTGATTCAAAGTGTCACATTTCAGATTCTTCTATGTATTCCACCCTCTCTCAGTAGCCTTGCCTTTTTTCTTTTTCAGAAATAAAACTGGTGGATGTCCCTGAAATGAATTACACCTCTGAGGATCAGCCCCATCCTCGTGGAGAAATCTGTGTCAGGGGTCCAATTGTCTTTCAAGGCTACTACAAAGACGAAATCCAGACGTACAGAACTTGCATCTATTATTATGATCACAGATACAAAATTTAGCACAAGTGAGTCTACCTGACTGTGCAGTTGATTGAACAGGAAAGAAGTCATTGATGACGACGGCTGGCTGCATACTGGAGACATTGGTTTGTGGTTACCTGGAGGCCAGCTTAAGATCATTGATAGGTGAGATCCTATCTTACACATAATTATAGTTCAAAATTATTGAATTGTAAAAAGAACATATCATTCAGAAACTAAACTCTTTTGACAGGAAAAAGAACATATTTAAGTTGGCACAGGGGGAGTATATAGCACCAGAGAAGGTTGAGAATGTCTACGCCAAGTGCGAATTTGTTGCTCAAAGTTTTGTATATGGTGAGGAGATTGAGTTTTCTTTGCATATAAAACATCCCAGCAGCCATGCTTTACTTGCTGATTTGCTCATTTTATGCTACTTCTAGGTGACAGCTTCAACTCCTGTCTAGTAGCTATAGTTGTAGTGGATCCAGATGTACTGAGAGCGTGGGCTGCATCTGCAGGCATAAAGGTTTGGTTTCTTTTTAACCCTCCTAGGTTCATTTCCATTGTCTTTTGGTTCATGCAGGCATGACGCTTGCTCGATACGTTTATCCTTTCGATGAAAACAGAATTTTTGTTGTTGTTTTTTGGGCGACTCTTATTGCATTCGATGCAGTATGAAGATCTCACACAACTGTGCAATGATCCAAGAGCAAGGACTGCTGTTTTGGCTAGCATGGATGCCCTTGGAAAGGAGGCTCAGGTAAATCTGTCTCAAGCCATACTGCCTGAAATAATAATCTTCAGGTTGCAAGGACTCTTGTAGCTTATTTTTAGTGTTTCATTTACAACTGCAGTTGAGAGGTTTTGAATTTGCAAAAGCTGTAACTTTGGTTCTTGAACCATTCACATTGGAAAATGGCCTCCTCACTCCAACCTTCAAGGTAAGCTTCTATTTTACTTGTCTTGGAAATCGAAAACGATGAGGGAAATATGGGTTGAAATTTACATATCCTAGTATCACTGTATTGACTTGAAACGCTTTCTAGATCAAGAGGCCTCAAGCTAAGGAACACTTTGCTAAAGCAATATCAACCATGTATTCTGAGCTATCTGATGCTGTACCGGCAAAACTGTGAGGATCCGAAAGACATGGAAGCAGGATGAGAAAAATAACATCCTTTTCCTTAGCCAAGAAACGAAAAGAAAAAGTGATAACCATCCTTTTTAATGAATTGTCGTAGACACGTCGAAACCGTCTTTTGATCGGATGATGAGGTTTTCATTGTTATTATTTATGTGAAAAGAAAAAAAAAACTATAGAAACTTTTGATTCTTTATAGCCCATGCTGGGGCCAAACTTACCCTTCTACTTCAGAAACAATGGAATCATATGGCCTCAATTCAATTCCTGCATTCTTCAAGTGATCCATCACCTCTGCGCTCACTTTAGTATCTACAAATAACTTCGCTTTATCAGTCTCCACAATCCAATATGCATCCATCACTGCCTCTCTGCAAAACAAAATTTAGCACATCATTTGGATTTACACAAAAGCATGAATATTTATGAATAATTTTGAATTACAATTTTATATTTGGTTAAAGAATCAAGAATATATGAGAATAGCTGATAAACGGGGTTAACATGCATCTTTGACAAAAAAAAACCAACCCACAGATAGGTTCAGAGGTATAACTATTGATTCCAGCGATTAGAATCTTCATGTCATAGTGGGGCCATAGATTTCTTCGTAGTTATTTTATTTTATTTTATTTGTCAAAATTAGAAAAGGGGAGGGGGAGGAGAAATATTTTTATGTTCAAGTACACCAATTGTCTGGCAGTGGCAGAGCTAGGATTCTTAGCATGGAGGGGCCAAAATTTCAAAGTCACTTCCACATAGGTTTTTCATCTTCAATTGAGAGGGTCAACACAAATCTAATTGCAGTAATTGTATTGCTATATCATATATTTTATAACATATTACAATAGATTGAAAATGATAGCTCTGCCCCTACTATGTGGTGTACCATCCAATACACATAAGACATGAAAATATTTCATAAAAATAAAATATTTTTATATGTCCCATTTGTATTTTATGATACACCATTTTCATATATATGCTTGTCTTTTTTTAATATATGTTCCAAAAATCGGTACACAGTACGTGGGCGGCAAGCATGGGCCTAGAGCCTAGAGGAGTAATCAGGGCCTAAGCACCCTTATTTTTTTTTAATAATTATTTTGTATTATAAATTATAAATTTATACCAAAATCATGCAAAATAATAAGATATATAAAAGAAAACTTTAATATTTTCCAACCTTCATGTTATCTAATTTTTATTTTTGTATTTTCAGTAACCTTGATACTTAAAAAAAACTGCTAAAAAAAAAAAGTAAAAATAGGCCCATTTTAACACAATGTTTAAGGCCATTTTACAAAACCCAACCCGTTAGTTATATTAAAAATTAGGTCAGATATCTTCCTCTTCACAGCGTCCCTTCTCCTTCCTCTCTCTGTTTCGATTTCATCTCTCTGTCTCGAGCTCTCTCTTTCTCTCCGTCTTTCTTCCTAACAAGCAGCGGCTCCTGCGCGCTTCAACCGCCCTTCATCCGCCTAGACCCGCCTAGGCCGCCTAGGCGCCGCCTAACTCCCATCGTTCACAACCCTTGGGAATTGGTTGCATGGACAACATATATGGAAGTGTGGAGAGTTCTGACTCACAGCTTTTCCGAACTGAAGAATGTAGAGACATGCTGTTACGTCCCCGCAATAGGACAGAATATCTCTTGGACAACCTCAAACTGAGATTTGATGATTGCGAACCCACGCAGTACTTTACGTGTTCTAATCCACATTGAAGAAATTTTCGGAACAGTCTTGTTTTTAGTTATTACCAAATGGTTCGTTGTCATCGTTGTAAGCGTCTAATGGACACAGAGACCACCCTTTCAGTGCCTGGTGCTGAAGATGGTGAGGTCTTTGTAAAAGGTCCAGCCAGATTTATAATTAGTGATGCCCCATTTACTTCTACAAGCTCTTCTTTAGTAAAGAACCTCGGATTCACGGGATGGAATAGTATTGAGGAGTTGACAGTCAATGTAGGAGTTGATGAGGTAAATGATCTGTTATACCACCAAAGTTAATTTTCTAGTAAGAAATGAAATGCTAGTTTCTGATGATCTTTTCACTTTCTTCAGGTTTTGAAGTTGCTTATGTGCTCATTAGTATCAAAGATGCCTTTGACTGAAACTCTGCTGAAGCATGAACCCCTCCCAGAATTGAGCAATGAAAATGTTGATCAAGAAATATATGTTGAATCTTGAATGTTAGGAGACGCCATGGTTTGTTACGCAGAAGCAGGAGCGGAGTTTGTTAATTTACTTTCAGTTTCTTGACTCTTCCACTCGGGTTTATTGTGAAACAGATGCAGGATAACTCTATGAAAGGATGCATTGGTCAGTTGTACAAAAGTGTCCAGGATCTTGATGAGCAATGCTTGAAGTCAAATAACCATATCTCCAAATCCCCTAATCAACAAGCGAAATCAGTTGAATTCGTAGACCCCAAATCCCACTGTAACAAAGATGATAACGCTCTTGGATTTTTGAAAGGACCGGGGATGTTCATGATAACCGACAGTGTCTCGACGTAAGTCCGATCTCTGCAATTCTTGGCCTGTCAATTTTATGCGAATTGAACGTACCTGTCACTGACATTGAGGTACAAGTTGCTCAAGTGGGCTAGAAGGAGGGGAGTTATATATCATTTATGTTTATCATTTGTAATTTACCTTAAACTACTCTGGTTGAAGCCTTAGCTGTGAGTTTCTATTTTGTTTGAAATTTTAGGCAGTTGGTTTATGATGAATATTCAATAAAGTGTTGCTGCTTGACCACGGTTGTTATTCAACATGGTTAAAGCCCAAGTAGCTAGCATGTGTTGAAAGTGGTTGATCTATTTGTGACAGTTTTATAATCTCTTTCATATGTTGATCAATCTTGTTTCTTACTACAGGCACTCCGTCTTTTGGTGGCTTCTTTTGTTTGTGATTCTGCTCTAACCAGTATCTTCCTTAGGAAGCCAAATCGAGGATTTGGATGCCTTAATTTTCTAATTTAAGAAGAGGATGTATTTTGTGTTGCAGATTAATTAATTTTCTACTTTATGTATTGTTCTCTGCACTATTGTATGTTTTGCGTTATATGACTTGAAACGCTTATGATTGTTGGATTGCTGTGAGATATTACTTCGTATATGTGTGCCCCGTCTTGGTTTCATCTTGCTAAGGAACACTTTGCTAAAGCAATATCAACCATGTATTCTGAGCTATCTGATGTGATGCTGTTCCGGCAAAACTGTGATGATCCGAAAGACATGGAAGCAGGATGAGAAAAATAACCATTCTTTTCCTTAGCCAAGAAATGAAAGAAAAAGTAATAACCATCCTTTTTAATGAATTGTAGTTGACACGTTGAAACCGTTTTTGATCGGATGATGAGGTTTTCATTGTTATTCTTTAAGTGAAAAGAAAAAAAAGCTATAGAGACTTTTGATTCTTTGTAGCCCATGCTTGGGCCAAACTTACCCCTCTACTTCAGAAACAATGGAATCATATGGCCTCAATTCAATTCCTGCATTCTTCAAGTGATCCATCACCTCTGCGCTCACTTTAGAAGTATCTATAAATAACTTCGCTTTATCAGTCTCCACAATCCAATATGCATACGTCACTGCCTCTCTGCAAAACAAAATTTAGCACATCATTTGGATTTACACAAAAGCATGAACATTTATGAATAATTTTGAATTACAATTTTATATTTGGTTAAAGAATCAAGAATATACGAGAATAGCTGATAAACGGGGTTAACATGCATCTTTGACAAAAAAAAAAACCAACCCACAGATAGGTTCAGAGGTATAACTATTGCAGACGAACCAGCATCAGCAAGTTCAGACCTCAGAGACAACAACTTGGATGCGACATCTACACCAGCATACTTCAGATCATGTACTCTAATGGGTTTGTTTTGAGGCTTTGGTCTTGATTCGTTCCATGGAATACTAGAACCCAGTGCAGAAATGCTACAACACCCGAGCTATATGCAAAATAAACATAGAACTTAGTGTTCGAAAAATCGGCCGTCTAGGCGCCCGCCTAGGAGCTAATCGCTAGGCGGGTCTTTTTGTTAAAAAGGTCAACTAGTGATTTATCCCTTAAACTTGTACCTAACTTTCGATTTGCCCCCTATCCCTTTTGTTTCAGAAAATTAAGGATATGAACTCTTATTTTTTCACTAATTTCCCTCCCTCCTGCCATCTAAATTTTTTTTTAAGGTGACAAATTGAAATTAATGTATAAGTTCAGGTAACATTTCTACAAAAATCCCTTTTTAGAATTAAGAAAAGATAACATGGGTAGTTATGTTTCATAAAAGTAGGACCTATTATATGTTTTTGTTTTTGTATTTTTTTAAATATGAAAAAAGTGAATTTACCATATTATCCTCATTTAATTAATAATTTCAATTCTTAATGTTTGAATTAACCAAGGGCATTTTTTGGTGTTTTGAATGTTTCACCATTCTCTACCTTTTGCTATATATATAGACTAGCCTCTCTGCACGTGCTTCCGGGCCTGCGAGAGGCTTTTTTTTAAATTTATTTTATTTTATTTTAGAATTAAAAATAATAATGGGTAGTTGTGTTCCATAAAAATAGGATCCATTATCTGATCTTTCTTTTAATTTTAATTTTTTAAAATATGAAAATGTATGAATTTACTATATTATCCTCATTTAATTAATAATTTCAATTCTTAATATTTGCATTAACCAAGGGCATTTTCTGGTATTTTGAATGTTTCACCATTCTCTGCCTTTTGCTTTATATATATAGATAAATAGTATAGCTGCACGGCTATACTCGGGTGTTGTTTTATGAAAAAGTAATTAACAAAATAGTATAGCTGCCCGGCTATACTACTTTTGACACATGAGCGCCTAAACGACAGGATGGACTTTATTTTATTTAAAAATAATATAACCGGGCGGCTATATCTTCTTTTTTTTTCCAAGCTATAAAGAGTACAGCCGCACGGCTGGACTTGGATATTTTTATACTAAAAACAAGCACAGCCGCTAGGCTGTACGGCGGTCTTTTTTTAATTTAAAAACATATAACCGTTCGGCTATACGACTTTTGACACGTGGCGGCCAAACGCTTGGAGGGACTTTATTTTCTCTTATTTATAAATAGTATCGGCTATACTTCCGTTGTTTTTTAATTAAAAAATAGTATAGCCGCGGGGGTATACGGGTTTTGACATGTGGGCAGTGCTATTCCTCTGTTTTTAATAAATAGTATAGCCGTGTGACTATACTCCATTTTTTTCAAATGTTTTTAGAAAAAACAGTATAGCTGTGCTACTTTACTGGGTTTTTTTGTTGTTGTTTTAATTTGTTTAATAAATATTTTTATAAGTCCCATTTGTATTTTATGATACACCATTTTCATGTATATGCTTGTCTTTTTTTAATATATGTTCGAAAAATCCATAGGCAGTAGGTGGGCGGTAGGCCTAGAGCCTAGAGGAGTAATCGGGGCCAAGGCAGCCTTTTTTTTAATAATTATTTTGTATTATAAATTATAAATTTATACCAAAATCAAGCAAAATAATAAGATATATAAAATAAAACTTTAATATTTTCCAACCTTAATATTATCTGATTTTTATTTTTGTATTTTCAGTAACCTTGATGTTTAAAAAAAACTGCAAAAAAGAAGAAGTAAAAATAGGCCCATTTAACCAAAGTGGTTGGTGTGAGTGGTTCGGCACTCTCATTCCTTAAGAGAGATCAGGGGTTCGATCCCTGCTCTCGTACGGAGTCACCACTTTGGCCAACACTTTACCCCTTACGGGCCGACCCGGTATGAGTGGGGATTAGTCTGGGTTGTGGTTAAGGCTTAAAGGTGCCACCTATATTTGGGGCTCATCCAGGACTATCTCGTGGTTCAGACCAAAAAAAAAAAAAATAAGCCCATTTTAATACAATGTTTAAGGCCATTTTACAAAACCCAACCCGTTAGTTATATTAAAAAGAGTGCAGCTAATTGAACCCTAAAATTAACTGAGTACACCCTAAGGTCTAAGTACACCATCCTATTTCAATCAAAATATCAAATTAACTAAGTACACCCTAAGTGACTACCAAAAATACCCTTGGTACACCCTAATACACTCTATCACACAAAATAAAGAAACAAAATCAAAAGCCCTTGGAAAGAAAAAAGAGAAACGTATCCCACCGATAGTTTGGTTCCTCCCGCAACCACAAAGTGAAAGAAACCAAATGCCAAAGTGTTTCATTTAGCTAATAGCTTGTATAGTCTTACCTGCACAAAAACCACAAAATTAATTGAACCAAAAAAATATCACCACAATTGCAACCACAACCACGTCCCTAGAAAATCATCTTCATGTTTCTTGTACAACATCATTAGTATCCTTGTCTTTATTTTCAATATGTTTCCAACCATCATCTACAATAAGAAATCGCGGAGGCAAGACAATAATTCAAGTTTAGCAGATAAATAGAACAGAGGAATAGCCTCTTACAAGTTTCAAGGCAAGACAATAATTCAACGCAAGAATCAATTCAAGTTCAACGCAGGACCTTCGAGCATTCAACGACACCTCCTTGCCCCTCCGCCAATGCTAGCTATTTGATTATGGTTGAATATGTGGCAAGTAGGGTGTACTTATTAAAATTATATTTGTTTCACAATTCAATATATTTTTTTTGGTCATTTTATATTAGGGTAAATTAGTAATTCAATAAATAGTTTGGTAGTAGGGTGTACTCAATTAATTTTAGGGTTTGTTTAGCAGCACTCTATTAAAAATTAGGTCGGATATATTCTTCTTCCCAGCGTCCCTTCTCCTTCCGCTCTCTGTTTCGATTTCATCTCTCTGTCTCGATCTCTCTCTTTCTCTCCCTCTTTCTTCCTAACAAGCAGCGGCTCCTGTGCGCTTCAACCGCCCTTCGTCTGCCTAGACCCGCCTAGGCAGCCTAGACCCGCGCCCAGGCGCCGCCTAACTCCCATCGTTCACAACCCTTGGGAATTGGTTGCATGGACAACATATATGGAAGTGTGGAGAGTTCTGACTCACAGCTTTTCCGAACTGAAGAATGTAGAGCCATGCTGTTACGTCCCCGCAATAGGACAGAATATCTCTTGGACAACCTCAAACTGAAATTTCATGATTGAGAACCCACGCGGTACTTTACGTGTTCTAATCCACATTACAGAAATTTTCGGTACAGTCTTGTTTTGAGTTATTACCAAACGGTTCGTTGTCATCGTTGTAAGCGTCTAATTGATACGGAGACCACCCTTCTAGTGTCTGTTGCTGAAGATGGTGAGGTCTTTGTAAAAGTTCCAGCCAGATTTATAATTACTAATTAGTGATGCCCCCATTTACTTCTTCAAGCTCTTCTTTAGTTAAGAACCTCGGATTCACGGGATGGAATAGCATTGAGGAGT